CGTTGACCAGCCGGCCCGTATACTATTTCCGCGGTAATTACGTATTCGAGCCGCGTCCGAGTTTCATTACGCGACAGAGAGCCACCGATCGACAATTCGCCAACACACCGGAGCGTCGTTTTATCGATCCCGATCCACGATGCGCGCGCATCTAGATCGATAGCTTTGTTTTCCTTTCGGACTCTATCACGTGTACGAATAAATAATTCACGTGTCTTCTTAACGCATCGCTAAACCAATGAATCGCAGTTAACCCTTTTCATTGTCTATTTGCGCGTTGAAAATTCATCTAAACTCGGTTTGTGAAGTCTGTTGACGCACTTCAATTTTTTTTCTCTGCGTGTTGATAAAAATTCAATTAAATTTAATATTTAAGTTTATATTTATTAAATAATATTTTAATGTAAAATTGAATATTTCTGTTTTCTCTTTTATATTTTTTATTACGGGCAGAGTGTTGTTTATTGAGCTACGCTAGGTGCTCGAATTTTCTATTTTCTATTTTAATTTTCCATTTTCTAATTTAGATTCAATACGCTTTCCCTCCGAATTTTCACTGAATAAACTCTAATTCACGAAGATCTCGATATCTACTAATGTCGAGCGACTTTTTGCCAAAAATTGCCAAAAAGATTTCTAGAATAATTGCTAAAAATCCCTGTCATAAAAATTAATAACGCAAAACTGACCCACGCTTCGTTATATCTAACACTATCACAAACCAGAACATCTGAGAATAGTGCAGTAAAACCAAGTATCATTCATCGCGAATTGGCATAGTTTCACTTTTCGTTTAAAACCCACAACTCTCGGGAACGTTCTAGGAAACGTCGAAACACTATCGCGATAAACAACGAATACGAGACGAAGCTTGTAAATTAACTTCTTCACACCCGCTGTATTAGGAAACAGCAGCATTGCGAAACGAGTAGAATTTCGTGAATGGTAGGGTTCAAGTGGAGAGAGACTCATTCACTTCTCTGAATACTATCGATAAACTGATAATGTTCGAACGTTTTTGCGACACACCGGGTAACCTGAATTGTCAGCGCCGAAATGAAAAAGGCAACGTCGTCGGCAATGGGTATGAATCACGGGCAGAATTTCGCTGCGACGTCATGTCCCGCAATTAACCTGCGAGGTTGACGTTGTCGGCGAAAAATTGCACAAGTCGGACCTCGGCTCGACGTCGCCATTTCCTTCGCGAGTCACCGTTAATTGCGTTCGTCGCGTTTGCACAACGCTCCGCGATACGTCGCAACGTACAACGATTAAAAAAAGAAAGAGAAAAGATCAACAAAATTAAACAAATCTAAGCGTTTCACTTAACACCGATTCCTCCCGGTAATCCTCAGGCTAAATCCCTCGATAAATCACCGGTGATCCCTTATCTCCAAGTAAACAGCGTGAAACGATCGAACAACGTTCGACACACGGTCGAACAAACGGTCGGAACGCGGTAAAAAATCCAAGGAAGAAAGGAGAGAAAGGTGCAACGTGGATTGAACTACTCACCGATCGACGCGAACTTGAATCTCTTGATCCTGGGCAGCGTGGCAGTAGTGCAGGCGCGCGTCAAGGCTGGCATGCTGCTCTCTCGCTCTAACAAAGTGTTCGGACGTGACGACGAGCTGGACGATGCTTCCAGTTCTGGGACAGCGGCTCGTTTGACGGCTCTTTCCTCGGTGCCAGTCACCTCTACGGCTAATGAACGCATCCTCAGTTGACGCGTGTAATCGCGTGACGTGTGTATGGTGTGCTGTGTCATTAAGCCGCGTCTGTGTGTGTCATTAGCTGATTACAAGATTTCACCGTAACCAAAACAACTGACCGGCACGCGAACCGCAAATCAGGAAGTGACCATTTTCGCGGTGGCATTCTCCATTTCCCTCGTCACCGTAAATCTCCACAATTTCACCGGCGAATTTACCTTTGGAACACCCCGTGTACCTTAATTCGCGAAATTTCAAATTTACCCGGGCATCAAATTGGTTTTCTGAGGTAATACAATCTTCTGATACACGGGTGTCTCCTTTCAATTCACGAAAGTTGAAGATTTGCGGAGGCTTGAAAGGTCAAGCTTCTTTCCGGAGAGAATCGGGCAGAGTTGAAGATATTCTATGTAAATCTCGACAATTTGGACGAGTTCAACAGTGAATTTACCTTTGGAACACCCTGTATACTTCGTTTAGCGAAATTTCAAAGTTAGCAAAGCATCGAATTGGGTTTTTCAATCGATAGAATCTTTCGATACACAGGGTGCCTTCTTTGAATTCGCCAAAGTTCAAGATTTACGGAGTCATCGAAGGTCAAGTTTCTTTCCGGAGAGGTTCACGTGGAGTTGAAGATATTCTAACACGAAGGTCGTTCGAGATTATATATAGTCCGTTTTCACTTGCGATTTTCTGCATCGGCAACCTTAAACGACCTTCCGCGTACGATCGTTCCTTGAACCGAAGGAGAAAGTTGTACAACCTCGGGAGGCCTTCCATTTTCCTCGAGTTCCCGGGTGAAATAATTCCAGGATCGATTGCTTATGGCAACGACTCTAGAATCTACCACCAGGTGGCTATTGTTCACGGCAAGTTCTTCATCGATTCCTTGCCTATATAAACCCTCCTTAGCCATAATAGGACCGTTTCACTCGACACCTTGAAGTATTTCTGTACTACTTAGTCAAGTTTAACGTATATACCGACGTCGAACCTCCTCGAATTCATCGGTCTGGTGAGAAATTCTATTAATAAAATTGATCAACAGGTCTGTAAATTCACGGGTGTACCACCGATCGTTCATCGAAACACTTTGCAGTTTTGCTTGCTGCTGCTTACGCTGCAAGATGTTCTCGTTGGAAAGAAAAGAATTTGTTGACCCAACGATTTCTTCTTCGGTGCAAGTAAAAGGCAGTGTGAACGGTGTTTGCTTGTTCGACGTGTCTTTTGTAAATGCAAACGAGAGCGAATGGCAGTGTATTTTCGGCACGAGAGAACGACCTCGAACGATGAAATTTCCATGACTCGCTCTGGATCGTCATTGGAAAGACACGTGAGATGCAGATGTTTCACGATGAACACGCTATAACAGACATCGTAACGTCAACTTACGATACTCGGAAGATTACACCAAGAATATTTACGCTTTATATGGAATGTTTCGATAATTTGTAATCTCTATTCGTGTAACGTGATGTATAAATGTGAATCGATTATTCATCGTGTTGCTTGAAACGGCGTGGTACGACAAAGTGCAATCGCGATGTTTTGCACGCACTATTACAGATAAGATTAAACGTTCAACGTTCTATTTTGCCGAGGTGACGATCTTCCGCGTTGTTTTCGTCGCGTGAAACTGCTGCATCAGCGTGAAACGTCATCTTTATGGAAACGAGGACTCGATTTCTAATTCACTCGGGGGTTTCCGTGATTGTATTGAAGAAATTTTATTTGGTGACGTGAGAAACGAATTCTGAGGTAATCTGAGTGTGTGCGTGATATATTGCTCGATTCGTGATAACAGAGGAAGAGAGGGAAATTGTCGAATTTTGTAATTGAGCGTCTTCTTGACCTTCATCTTGAGTGAGGTGTTAATTATTCTCCAAAAGAATTATATAAAAAAATAGACACTTCAGACCGTAATTTAATTACTATACCAAAAGATAATCTATCAAACTGTTCTCCAAAAGAATTATTCAAAAGAATACACTCTTAAGATCATTTAATTCCTATACCAAAGGATGATCTATCAAACTATTCCCCAAAAGAATTATTAAAAAATTTGATACTTAAAATCATCAATTAATTACTATACCTAAAGATAATTTATCAAACTGTTCTCCAAAAGAAGTATTTAAAAAATACACACGTAAGATCATCACTTAATTGCTATACCAAAGGATAGTCTATCAAACTATCTTCCAAAAGAATTATTTAAAAAAATACACACTCAAGATCATCACTTAATTCCTATACCAAAGGATGATCTATCAAACTATTTTTCAAAAGAATTATTTAAAAAATTTGATACTTAAAATCATCAATTAATTACTATACCTAAAGATAATTTATCAAACTGTTCTCCAAAAGAAGTATTTAAAAAATACACACGTAAGATCATCACTTAATTGCTATACCAAAGGATAGTCTATCAAACTATCTTCCAAAAGAATTATTTAAAAAAATACACACTCAAGATCATCACTTAATTGCTATACCAAAGGATAGTCTATCAAACTATCTTCCAAAAGAATTATTTAAAAAAATACACACTCAAGATCATCACTTAATTGCTATACCAAAGGATAGTCTATCAAACTATCTTCCAAAAGAATTATTTAAAAAAATACACACTCAAGATCATCACTTAATTGCTATACCAAAGGATAGTCTATCAAACTATCTTCCAAAAGAATTATTTAAAAAAATACACACTCAAGATCATCACTTAATTGCTATACCAAAGGATAGTCTATCAAACTATCTTCCAAAAGAATTATTTAAAAAAATACACACTCAAGATCATCACTTAATTGCTATACCAAAGGATAGTCTATCAAACTATCTTCCAAAAGAATTATTTAAAAAAATACACACTCAAGATCATCACTTAATTGCTATACCAAAGGATAGTCTATCAAACTATCTTCCAAAAGAATTATTTAAAAGAATACACACTCAAGATCATCACTTAATTGCTATACCAAAGGATAGTCTATCAAACTATCTTCCAAAAGAATTATTTAAAAGAATACACACTCAAGATCATCACTTAATTGCTATACCAAAGGATAGTCTATCAAACTATCTTCCAAAAGAATTATTTAAAAGAATACACACTCAAGATCATCACTTAATTGCTATACCAAAGGATAGTCTATCAAACTATCTTCCAAAAGAATTATTTAAAAGAATACACACTCAAGATCATCACTTAATTGCTATACCAAAGGATAGTCTATCAAACTATCTTCCAAAAGAATTATTTAAAAGAATACACACTCAAGATCATCACTTAATTGCTATACCAAAGGATAGTCTATCAAACTATCTTCCAAAAGAATTATTTAAAAGAATACACACTCAAGATCATCACTTAATTGCTATACCAAAGGATAGTCTATCAAACTATCTTCCAAAAGAATTATTTAAAAGAATACACACTCAAGATCATCACTTAATTGCTATACCAAAGGATAGTCTATCAAACTATCTTCCAAAAGAATTATTTAAAAGAATACACACTCAAGATCATCACTTAATTGCTATACCAAAGGATAGTCTATCAAACTATCTTCCAAAAGAATTATTTAAAAGAATACACACTCAAGATCATCACTTAATTGCTATACCAAAGGATAGTCTATCAAACTATCTTCCAAAAGAATTATTTAAAAGAATACACACTCAAGATCATCACTTAATTGCTATACCAAAGGATAGTCTATCAAACTATCTTCCAAAAGAATTATTTAAAAGAATACACACTCAAGATCATCACTTAATTGCTATACCAAAGGATAGTCTATCAAACTATCTTCCAAAAGAATTATTTAAAAGAATACACACTCAAGATCATCACTTAATTGCTATACCAAAGGATAGTCTATCAAACTATCTTCCAAAAGAATTATTTAAAAGAATACACACTCAAGATCATCACTTAATTGCTATACCAAAGGATAGTCTATCAAACTATCTTCCAAAAGAATTATTTAAAAGAATACACACTCAAGATCATCACTTAATTGCTATACCAAAGGATAGTCTATCAAACTATCTTCCAAAAGAATTATTTAAAAGAATACACACTCAAGATCATCACTTAATTGCTATACCAAAGGATAGTCTATCAAACTATCTTCCAAAAGAATTATTTAAAAGAATACACACTCAAGATCATCACTTAATTGCTATACCAAAGGATAGTCTATCAAACTATCTTCCAAAAGAATTATTTAAAAGAATACACACTCAAGATCATCACTTAATTGCTATACCAAAGGATAGTCTATCAAACTATCTTCCAAAAGAATTATTTAAAAGAATACACACTCAAGATCATCACTTAATTGCTATACCAAAGGATAGTCTATCAAACTATCTTCCAAAAGAATTATTTAAAAGAATACACACTCAAGATCATCACTTAATTGCTATACCAAAGGATAGTCTATCAAACTATCTTCCAAAAGAATTATTTAAAAGAATACACACTCAAGATCATCACTTAATTGCTATACCAAAGGATAGTCTATCAAACTATCTTCCAAAAGAATTATTTAAAAGAATACACACTCAAGATCATCACTTAATTGCTATACCAAAGGATAGTCTATCAAACTATCTTCCAAAAGAATTATTTAAAAGAATACACACTCAAGATCATCACTTAATTGCTATACCAAAGGATAGTCTATCAAACTATCTTCCAAAAGAATTATTTAAAAGAATACACACTCAAGATCATCACTTAATTGCTATACCAAAGGATAGTCTATCAAACTATCTTCCAAAAGAATTATTTAAAAGAATACACACTCAAGATCATCACTTAATTGCTATACCAAAGGATAGTCTATCAAACTATCTTCCAAAAGAATTATTTAAAAGAATACACACTCAAGATCATCACTTAATTGCTATACCAAAGGATAGTCTATCAAACTATCTTCCAAAAGAATTATTTAAAAGAATACACACTCAAGATCA